GTGTTTTGAGAATAGAACACAAAACATGTATCTAATCCATAGATATATGCAATAAGTTTCGAAGTGGAATGTTAACAGGTCCTTTTTGTACTGCTTATATTGATCTACCGCATAACAAAGGTAATTTGTTGACTATTGCAAGAAGTATCGTGATCTTGGAAATAGCGCCATTTCATACCTGACATTGTGACGTTTGACACTGCCTTACAAAGGGTTTAGATTTAATCAAACGCTGTAATGGCTTTGATGTTGTTACATTGCTCTAAATCACTACTTGCCTAAAGAACAGTAATTATCAGAAAATATGTAAATTTGACGACTAACGTTTCAGATAGTTAATGTACTGATTGCACAGTAATGTTTAATTTCGTTAAGCTTTAATATACGAGGTGCATTGTTTCACACACACATTTACATTTTGGTTTTATTTTATTAAACGTCCTATTAAAAGCTAAGGTCATTTTAGGTCGTGCCACCATGTGTGTTGTGTTGCGAATGTTTGTGTGTTTGAGACATGGTATGCTGGTGTGTTTCCCTCCTTGTGATAGGGCGAATCTGATGCCGACTCTATATTCCAGGTATTTATTATCTTAAATTTTTGAGTTGGTAACATTACATAATAACTCCAATCTGAAATAGAATTTCCATGTGATTAGTTTCAAAGATAATTTGCATCATAATCGGTAATGTCTGCACTTTTCGTTTTGAAAAATTGACTTCATTAATCCTGAATTTAACGCGGTTTGATACGTCCGAGTCCAGATGTTCCACATACGTTTCGCTTTGAGATAATAGAGGCATACACAGATATCGTGCGTCAATGGTCTCATTATACTAAACATTGTTGTATAAAGTCGTGTTGGACAGATGCGCAATGTCTTAGCTTGCATGGTATGCATCAGGGCAACCTCAAGTCTTTGAAATAGCACCAAACGAGATTTACCGAGATAAGGCGAGATTAGAGAAGTGTGGCATGTCTACTATACCAGTCAGTTTTCACATAAAAAGCGAACAGACGCACGTTTGTCCATTGTTATGGGATGCCTCAAACTGAGGAGCATTTTATATTTATCGGTGCAACGTGGTCCGAATTCCAATGGCACAAGCGTACAAATATGTACACAATTAAACCGACGCTCACTATAAGTATATAGATAGATGAGTAATCCAACTTCATTTGGTTTAATACTAAATTATACTCTTGATAATGTATAATGGTGAGGTTCAATTACCGCCACATAGCTGTGGCAATTGCGTCGCGCCAAGACAACAGACGTTATTTTGTGGGTACGATTCTCTACTCTTGGTGATAAGAACAATACATATTTCTTGTAGACATTTCGTACATATCTAACGCTTGAACGTTACTATGATTCATAACATATTTCATATATACTTTACTGAAGTTAAACTCGAGAATTGCAATCTCATATAAAATAAATGTTTTTATCAAATTTGTTGGCACTTGTTACTAATGTTGCGATGAAGTACTGATAACTTTGTTTCGGTAGTGTTACCAAAGCGTAAACGGAACGCGTATCAATCTCGCATGTTACTCCACGTCTACAACCACCTCTGTAAACATTGCATTATGGTGTATATATACATTCCTCAGGCAAAAATATGTGCAAAACACATGTATACAATTATAATTTCTCCCCTTTTTACACGGATGGAAAAACAACTGAAACCCGTTTGTTTTCACAATATGCGTGTTGCACTAGCATAAAACACAGATTTTATTAAGATGTCGATATTTTAAATGACATGATTTTTTTCCTCGTCTGAATGTTTTCTTTCTCCTTCAAGGTGGTAAATTATATAAGAAGGTTTTAAAATACCGTTTTTTTTTTTTACCAACTTTGAACAGTTAAGCAAAACGCTGCAGACCTATAACCAAAATATTGAACTAAAATATCAACTTAGCCCAATGCAATTTACATGTAGTTAGCTAGTTTACAGGGTTAAGTAATCCTATTATAAATGTAACAGTTTTAGTCATTTAAGAACTTGGCTCCATCTGTTATGAAACACATTTGGCCTTAATTCCTAGACCATTTGAAAAAACGTGCCAGTTTGTAGCATTACATTATCAAAGTTTACAAGTCAACAATTTGTGTTGAAAGGGTTCTTGTCAAAGTTCTAAGATCAAAGGTAACATGTCAACCTGTATTGTTCAAAGGTTAAGTTGTTAGTAACACCTGTTTAAATTTACGTTTTTTTGTCAACGGTAAAAGCAATGAATGATTTTTATACGTAGAATAGACAAGGGGGCACGGCCTTCCTTCAGCACATGTAAGATGGCTGGAACCCTATATAGATCAGGCAAGTTTAACATTGGTAATTAGCATTGTAAACAGATAACGGCCACCAATTTATAGGCTTGTTTGTCGACCATGATGAAAGTAAGATTTAGGATTATATTCATAAAAAAGCACTAGCTACACTCTCTTACAAAAACAAAGCACACAAACCGATCTAGTACATGTTTGTATAATATGCGAACGATTTTTGGCAAAGCCGGTATGAAACGTTTGTAATGGGGCATTGACGTCATAGCGGATGTGGTGTTAATTGTTAACAACCCTTCCTTCCTCCTAAGGTAAAAACAACTACCATTAACATAGACATAATTCATACAAGCTTTTTATCATTAAAAATCTATTTTCATAAAAATACCCGGCCTCATTTCATAATGGTACGTTCCAACTAAACTAAAACGTGTGACATGTTTTCAGATGTTTGATTTTATGCACAATGTACAGATTAGCGGAAGCGTCTGTAAATCTGTTTTAATGTGGATCATAGTATAAAGATGATTAGAAATTATAATGGCGTTTTATGGGAATATATAGACTTGANTGCTGGGTGTCTTCGGCAGTATGTTTCAGTGAGGTAGCACTATAAAGTCGGCATCAGTTCCGCGCTATCACAAGGAGACAAACACGAACATATCGCAGCCTCCCAAAATACACACACATACACTACACGCATGCATCTTGCACACAGGGGAGGCCGTCCTTAAATGACCTTAGCTGTTAATAGGACGTTAAACAAATCAAACAAACAAACAAACAAACAAACCCTGTTAAGTAGGTTTAATTTATGCTTGGGGTTTGAAAACTGACATTAGATAGAATATTTTAGTTTTCGTAAATATTTTGCTGCAGGTCAGTTTTCTAAAATAATATCCATCTTAATTAAATCAATTTACGTCGATAGTACAGTTTAAATCGCTTATATACTTGTATCTTGGATATATTTCAATTCACATGTTTGCGAAAAATATACAAACTCTCAAATTGCAACTTGTATCTAACGCATTTATTTAAAGAGCGTTCGTTTGTTTGCATGTGGTGTAACATCTTTGCAACAGACGAGCTAGGCTCATGTGAAGACGTGTATCTAGGGAGATACTTTTGCCGAGAACAAAAGGAGGGATGTCAGAAAAAAATGGAGATATCAAAGATATTAATGCAGAGCCATCATGACATTTCTTCCACAATGTCCACCGTGCACATTCGACATCTCGAGTTCTTTACCACTTCAAAATAAAACAAATAAGATGTTACAATATTCCTGTCTGACGTACGCAAACGTGTGGAAACGTGAAGTTGAAAAGTTGCATAATGAACAAACAGAAATTTACAAATTGAAATCTGGACCATTTTACACGCATGTTTATTTTCAAGACGTTAGAATCACAAAATCATCAATATTTCGATTTGATTTGACAAAATATAATATTCGACACCATTTCAGTGTTAACATTTTTTGTCTGTATCATTATTACTTTAAGTATGGAGCACGTGTAAATGCAAATAGATAAAGGTAGTAGAAAACAAGGATGTAAATTAAACTAAGGCGTTTTCGGTTTATTTTAGAAACATGTAAAACGTTTGAAAAATAGTCGGTGTTTGAATATGTTAATTGGAGTTGAAAAGCAAACATTGTTGCCTCTCATTATTTACCCTATGTTTTGGCCACCTGTGGAGGACCCTAAACATGTTAATTTGGCAAATCCGCTCTCTTCCTCCCGATATCTTCTCGTGCGCGCACCTATTGGAGGGGGTCTGCGGGAGGAATCTGATTGTCAGGGAGGATTCCATAGTTTTAAAACATATAGGGTAGAGTGGTAGCTGTATTTAGTGCTCATCATCAATAGGAAATAAAAAATATGCTGACAGCTGAAGGAAATACTACCTCACCGATTGATAGGACTACATTTAATTGGGTATATATTAACGTCCTGACTGCACTAATGTGATAGCCCTTATTACTGATGATGATTAAGCTTATCTGTATCACTGTGGCCGTTGTAAATGATATAAGACCTACTAAGTAGCCTGACACGCGAGAGCAACGTTGATAATATATTGTTTCGTAAGTTATGCAAAACATGTCAAGTTTCCTTCTGGAGTATATATGCTATAACAAACTCGTAACGTGTAATTGAAGCTGATGTTTATAGTTTACCTTACAGGAAATTGTATATTAAATGAGATTGATAAAAATTGTCGTTTTTTAATAATTTTCTTATTAATGATATTTTTTTTATACCCTCTTGGCTCTATACCGTTTGTCTTATTTGTATCGTCCTAACATAAACAGTATTTGTTTCGTAATCATATATTGTCACATAACTTCATTATATGACGTGTGTGGCTTCACTGAATAGCACGATAATAACGAAATAAAATAATAAAACGTTACAGTACACATGTTCCCATGTTCATCCCGACGGTATATATAGCCTCGTACATTGTATTTGTGTGGTGTCTGCAACAACGTGTTTAGAACTATACTGAGGTACGAAAACTGCCACATTTGATTAGTTAAACCACTTAGGTCACTTGAGCAACGGTTGAACATTACGTACTCTTGAAGCTCCGCTCATGTTGAAATGCCACTTCTTGAATAACAAGCTAAAACAAACTACCGTACGATTGAACCTTTCCCACAAACACTGTATTAGACAACAGGTCATACTGGTCACTTACCTGGCGACTGCTGGTCACTTCCGGGTAAAACCAGGGTCACTAGAATTACACACATTGGGAACCACTCCATCATAAAGTGTATTTGTTGTAACAAACTGATTAAAATCCTCCTTCTCCGTGGAATATAGCGCTAGACAAAAACTGTCAGAGTACACGAGGGTAATAAATACACTGCAGCGTTGAAACACATCATCTTTAAGATAACAAAAGGACTACTCTGTTACCAGATGCCAGAATTTATAATAACGAATGTACTCTGATAAACTGCATACTGTAACAGTTTTTTAAAACAATCCGTCGACAGTCCGTGTCATCGCCTGACCCCGAATTAGTTCACTGTTATTACGCACTAGTATGTATCGTCTGCTCGGGGCTACTGAAGCTGTGCACAGATGCTCGCGGGTTAAAAAGAGTCACGTGGTTCTAACGCGTCATGTGATATGTATAAATAACTTCACAGATTTACAAGTAAACACAGAATTAGTGTTGTAAAAATAATATCGATATTGTTAATCATATTTCCAGTGTAAAACTATATGAATGACTTTGTCATGTGATGGGTTTTCATTTAGGTGATGTATAACGTTAGAAACAATTAAACGGTCCTAAATATCCGAGGTGTGCATTACAGTTATTTCTGTATAATTTGATAATCAAGTGTTATACTTTGCCTTCAAAAGGATCCAGGGTGTGATTTTGTAAATCTGTCCAGATTTAGCGTTTAACGGTCTCACAAAAGCTTTCTAGTTGCTATATTTAAATTTCTACTTGATTTTTTATAGTGATTAAGACAGTTATACGGGGAGTATAGCAGTCGCACAATATTTCCAGGTGGTTCACGGGTTGCATCCAACATTTTTATATTGTGTGGCAGGATTTAATTTTATTAAATTTATTTGTAATGTTGTGTAATGTTATGTCCAGTATAGAGGTCACTAGTGTGGCGTCAGTATATATCTTTTTATCCAACTTGCTATCTGGGTTGGCGCGCAATAACTTCGTTTGACAAGGTAGACGAGACAGCGACGACAACGACGACTGACAAGGATATAAGTGAGGTATACATTCTATTTCTCCATTTTTTAAATTAACCTTTCGAGCTATCCTATTTGTCCTCTCTCCTGTCCGGCGTACGGTATCTTCCGCGAGCAGTGTCTGATATTATTTTTACGGTATTTTATATCATTTTTCCGTGGGGGTTACGTGAATGACCAGCATAATACCGGCCGGTACGATTGTGTTTAAATTCCAAATCTTATTATTTGTATCGTTTTTGTTTACAGAGTTGAATACGTGTTCAGACTTATCTATGAGCTGGACATGTTGTAAAGCCTTCTGCCACAAAGAGGTGGTTATTTCATTATAAATCATACAAATCCATATATGTATATATCTTCTTTAATGTCCCATACTATTGGGTACGTCTGTGAATGGTTTTCACAATTTGCTAGTAACGTCGATAGACCATACTCTTATAATATATGTGTAAAGGTTAATGTAATACATATTGTAACTAAAAGATAAGGACATAGTATATCTGCTATTTCGAATTCATTATTTGTTATATCATAACCGGTTTAACGAACGTATTTTACAGTTAAGTGTTAATTGTCAGATTTTACTCGTTTATGTTATATGTGTATCGATAGCGTTATGTATACGTGTAGTTTATGTTTGGTTTCGTTTAGTATTGTTTAACGTCCTATCAACAGCTATGGTTATTTAAGGACGGCCTACCCTGTGTGCAAGATACATGCGTGTAGTGTATGCGTGTGCATTTTAGGAGGCTGCGATATGTTCGTGTTTGTCTCCTTGTGATAGCGCGGAACTGATGTCGACTTTATAGTGCTACCTCACTGAAAGATACTACCGAAGACACCCAGCAGGACGTCCCACCCGGTCACATTATACTGACAACGGGCGAATCAGTCGTCCCACTCCTAAATTGCTGAGTGTTAAACTACCCTTTACAGACTCTGATACATATGTGTATGTCTCGGCCAGGGGACAGAACCCAAAGACTTCCTCACAAGGGCGAACGCTCAACTAAAGGCCAAAAGTGAGGCATTGTCAAGAGAGACATTAGGAGGAAGAAAGTTGTTTAGATAGAAAAAAAAAGATAAGATCCCATATTTGGTCGCCTCTTACGATCGGGAATTGGGCAGCAGGTACAATTCTTACGCCCTACCTGCAGGGACCTGCCCTCGTGATATCTGTTTAAATTAGTTTATTCCTAATAATAACAACGTAAACATGACGTCAACCCTGCGCCTGATGAGATAAGTCGCTGACGAGAAAAGGCTTATCACGCTTATTCTTGACAAAAATATAAGTAATTGGTATTTAAAATCTTTACATATCAATATGCATGCACTACTGATAGTTAGGAATTTGTATGGCTTCAATGTTAACCAGTATTTCCAACAGATCGCAGCACGGTAACTTCACTAAACAAGACTTTGTTGATAAACACGGTATGTGCTTATGATATATTGATTAAGTAACCTATACCTAATGCTTTATATAAAAACTCCCTTTTATAAAAACGGCCGATGTAGTAGTTTAATATGACGGCGTTAATCCCTGGTGATCTGTTTTATATTTCATTTTTCCAGTACCTAGCCTGGTCGACTGCCACTAAGTATAATTCATGTTATGCGGACTGATATCGTATCATCTTCTTAACAGTAATAAAACGTTCTCACTGGATAGAAGTAGGGGCGCTCGAGCGGGAACCGGAACCGACATGTGGTGAGCAGTTTGAAGCCTAATAATAATAAGGGGCTCACATGCGGAGTCAAAATGTCGTGAGCTGCTTTTTAATTAAGCAGTATATATTATTATTTATATTAGGCTCTCGAAAGAAATTGAAATGTAGTGAGCTGTTTTAAGCGTAATTTTGACTATTACCGATGAGGCTCTTGTAAGGGAATTAGACATAAGTCAGCTGTATCAAGTGTTATTACTGAAGCTATATAACTCTGGAGCGAGAAGCGCAATGTAGTGACGTGCTTTTTCCGTTATTACTGTTTATACGAATATGCCCAAATGCGGGTATTGGAATGTTGTGAAATTCTTTAAGCGTACCCGGGAATAATAAGAGGCTCTGCAGCAGAAATCTGAATGGATTTCGTTTGACGTCCTATAAACAGCTTAGGTCATAAAAGGACGTGTCTCCATGTATGTATGTGTGCTGGACGCATGGTATATTGCCGCCTTGCGATAGTGCAATTCTGATGGCGACATTATAGTTCTGCATCGCTGAAATACCATAGCGAAGGCACCAAGAAGAACACTCCACTCGGTTACATTATACTGAAAACGGTTAACCAGGTGTTGCGTTAACGCTAAATACTCGACGTAAAGCAGCAGGGAATAGTAAATACTATTTTTAAGGAATTTCGTATGTCCCGGCTGTGGGAGAGAACCAATTGCCCAACCCCACTCGGGCAAACGCTTCACCCAAGAGTGAGGTATTGCCAATCAAGGCACTTATGAATTGGAATAGTTTGGTGTTAGTTTTGGCTTTAAAGGCCACACAACGATGTTAAAATAGACATACACAAAAATGTATTTATAGAAACCAGAATCAAAAAGGTCAAAATGTGCGAAAGATGTCAAAATATATCAAAAGCAAACTGATTGAGTGTAAATAATCATATATGTTTTGCGCAGAAACTGTAACAAATAAACGTTTCATACAGTGTACATTATAGAATCTGTCACGCATTTGTTTGAAATCGGCGGATTTCATCATAAAATGTTGAACTGAACATAACCTATTGTTTGTTACTCTAAACCATTTATGTTGCCAATTCGTTTTAATAAAATTCGATATGGAAAGTTAAAACGTTAGGACATGGCAATTTAATGTCTTTCGGATGAAGGTCAAATGCTCAGCCCTATCTACTTTTTCATTTCTATTGATTCCAACATGACTGAAGTTTCAAATCAAGATTAACGACAAAAACTAAATATATGCGTAAACGCCTCCTTGCGATAGCGCGTTTCTGATGCCGACTTTATAGTGCTATATCACTGAAATAGCATGCCAAAGGCACCCAGTAAAGCAACCCCCACTTTTTAACTGACAACGGGTGAACCAGTTCTTAAATAATGAACGTTAAACAGGGAATAACAACTGTCATGTTTGAGGACTTATATATATCCCAGCATGGGGACAGAACTCATAGTTTACTCGCCTAAACATTTAAAGATCAAAAATATTGCAATGAGTGAAGCAGTTGTATTTTGGTCGCTTTGGTGTTCCTAAGTAGAGTGTACAAAATATCCCTCATTATGTATGATGTTCACATATCGGACGTTCAGATTTATTCTTTTCATAATCCCCTACCTGCATGGGTGAAGTTAGCTTAATAAGCAGAGCTGTTTTAAACGAACTACATCATTACTTGGACTGTTAATCGGTATTAATTTCACCTCACAAAAATACTACAACTTAGGTACACAACACAGCTCTCCATTATGTTAGGTACACAACACAGCTCTCCATTATGTTATGACAATGACACCGCACGGGCGTTATAACGTATTATCATATGTCTACTGGAAACATCAGTAGTTTTTGCATGTGTGATAATTACGTAATCCATCCGATACCACATCTGGTCAACAGTGTTAAAAGTTTCTCGTATTGCTTCCTCATGCGACAAGTATTCTCGTAATGCACCCCCTTTTTTGGAACCCCTCTGACCTCACGGTTCCCAATGAAAACGACAAATGCGTTCCGAATTATATACTGAGATAGAATGATATGTCTTGTTACTGAAGAGGATCCTAAATCCATTAACAACACTTCTTCAAAAGCTACAAGAAAATGTGTAGTTTGCTTACATAGGAAAATAACACCGATACTTACACATTAATTTGCAATAACTAATTTTTATATGTTATAACGTTATCAAAATTTCAATAAAATACAACTCTTTAAGGGGCATCTAGTTAGCAAATCCAGTGATATTTTACAAGCCTATAAATCACTACTATGGTGGAATTTAAAAGAAGTAACTTGATCAATTGTTAATACATGTATGTATCATGGCTAACCATTGGCCTTGCTGTTGACATATAGTTCGTTATACTGTTCATAAATGCATAACACAGGTGTTCATAGAATCTCAGCACGTGGGAACTGATAGTAACCTGATCACACTGCATAGTAATACACTACAAAAACTACTCACTCGGAACGACCGACCTAGATGCTTAATTCTTACATCTTAAAATATTATTGAACTGTGCTTTGTGAAATATCCACGTATTCACGTGTCCTGTGCTACAAATAAACATTGAATATGGAACTACATTTTGTTGTGTTATTGTTGTTGACGGTTGCTAAGATCTCTCACGATAGTGTAACATTCCC